AGAATCTCGTTGACTTTGTTAGGTTTACAGAGTAATTGCAAACATGATCGTGTTGGAATGGAAGGAAATCTAAACGGACTCATGAAAAGACCTGAAAAACTTCATTTGAAGTATTTAAGAATAGAACTGATCCTCTTCACTTACAATCACATGCCTGGAGGTGCCCCTCATCGATTAACAACTCGCCTTTGTGCAACATTTATTTGTATGAATAAGGTAGATGGTGAAAACCAAAGTGAGCGATAGGACTGAGATTCATTATTAAAACCAGTACAGGAAGTAGGTGGATGAGGATGGTTCTCTCAGAAGTCGACATCTGGCAGGGTGAAATTGAAAAGCACGTAGTCCCAGTAGAAAATCTAAACGGCTCATGTACCAGGAGAGAGCTCACCGCATTCACTTTTCCATGCTCACCTTAGCAAGAAGTCGCTTCACTTCGATGTCCTCCATGTGTTTCTCAAACATTTTCGTTTCAGCCTTCTGTCTTGTGGCATGGATCGACGTTCCACTGCTAACTTGAGAAACAATTAACTCAACATCGGATCGATCCACATTCCCTTCTGTAATGTTCCTTTTCTTTGAAGTTCCAAATTTCAAACAATTCAAGCGAAAGTATACTGTGCCGTTAACAGCCTCAGATGAGCCTATTTCCCCTGAATGTAGATGGACCTATTCCTCTTGAATGTAATTTTCAGGAATCCGCTACCCTCTGACCCAGTAGAGGTGCGAATGTAACATAACTTCCGGAGCTTACGGGTATTTCAGCGTTGATCGGCCTGTGTTCTTACCAGATCTAACAGCATTAAGAACAGCATTTTGAAATTTTTAGATGGAACCAGTGCGAATCAAACAAAAGCATAGGTTTGGATGGCCCAGTCCGAAACTTGATCCCGGGACAAGACGTTTGGTAACGCACCGCTTGGTGCTACCCTACCTCCTCCTAAGTATTGAATATGCATAAGAAAACTGAGACCTTCAAGAACTTTGCTCAGATCGCTATTTAACTTTTCTTTGTTCTCCGGCGAATAGTGGATGAGTTTGAAGTGTTCGAGATTGTGCTGGAAATCACAATGCCTGAAAAATTCTGTTTGCTCAGTCTTCCTACTCATTGACATCTGGAACATACTTACTGGTAGTCGATGCACCATATAACTAAGGAAAAAGCTAAAAATGAATCATTTCTCGAGAAATCCACCTTATTCTAATTCAGATAATATCTGTGTCATTGCTTCTTGTGGCTTGTAAGTGTTTCGTTTTTTGCTAAACTTAAGCGGCATCCTCGCTTGATTCTGATGCATTTCAGATATTCAACGCTCCGCTTCGAAGATGGTTGATCGGAGGCATCGACTGAGGAGCGTTAGCCTTCAAGGTCGTAATAGCTATGCTTTGTAGTGTCCCGGGGCTTGATGCCCTACTTATCGCGCCACAGAACTATTGCTGGTAAGGGACGGAAGCTTTAAAAACAAGCCCTACAACACTAATTATGGTAACCAACTAGGATATGCTGCACGTTATATAGACCGTATATAAAATGCATGCGTCAGAATACCCATTCGTCAATCTGTTCGATATTACAGAGTTTGTATTACTCCAAGAAGACTTAGGGAAGCCTCGACTCGAGATTCAATCCCTCTACCATGCCTAATGTTCATGTTTAGACCGAAAATCCATAAATATACTGAAGAACTTTTTTTTATTGCTCTGAACTCTTCCCTCTCCAAATGGGAGCCTAGGGCCTAGCCTACTCTACCGATATTTGTCTCTGTGAGACAGGACAAAGAACGGGACAATGAGCAAAGCCCTAAGTGTTCATTTGAAAAGGGCAAAGTTCAGTTCGAGTAGAAAAATTTTGAGACAAACCAATTCTGAGGTCCGAGGTGCCACAGAAGATAGGAAGAAGCTGATAGATCTCCTGCAGCAAAACGTCGAGAACTTTCCAGTGTTCGCTTTAGAGCACATTTGATATCTCCAACACAACCTTCACAGACGCTATTTTCACCATTACCTCTGGAATACAAAAGTTTATATGGAAACTGGTTTTCAATGCCCTGAAACCGCACGGGTCATGAGGCCCTACAGCTATAATTAGATAGTCCTAACACTCACGGACTGCACATATACATGAATCCACTGAGAAAACGTTCTGCTGGTTCTCGAACCATCACGAAGTTCACCCAAGGTTGTCCTTGAGCAAAGTTTTTGATTTGCTTGTAATTATGCAACTCATTTCGTTGATTGCATATTTCCCTGAACAACTCCCGTTATTTATTGGAACGGCTAATATCTATCAATTATTTGGGTCATTGATAGCTTCAAACGGCTTCAGTGATTTAAACAAATGATTCTAAAGATTATCGTTACTTACCTACCCATTTTCGTTACTGGCCTGCTGGAGTTTCTCAGTGTGTTTGTGAATAAAGCGCAAAATATAGCGGAAAGCACGGTGGACATGTTTTTCGGAATCATGCATGAGGAAACGCGGTGACCAGGGCCGGCTATCTGCAATAGAAAGTAGTAATAAAATTGCAAGGGAGCTAAAATCTTCATTTCAACCCAATTTGGCTGGGGAACGCTTAGAACACCTCTAGTATTTCTTACTTTGGTCATGGATCAAGCACCAGGTGAAAGATCCAATCATAAATGAACAAAAACGGCGATAACAGGCATCGCTTTCCCTTCTATCTCGGTCCCTTCGCTTTTAGAGTGAAAAACACGAAGGGCTGATGACATAACTACATAGTTGAAGTTGACGTGCTCTAGACAGCGACCTAGATTTAAGGTGGTGCAATGGGGCATCCTGACCCATACCCTCAATAAAAGAAAGATATGAAATAGGATTCGGCTTTTGGCGGTATCATGGCAGACTGCTTCGGAGTTCGGAATCGCTCTCAGATCAACGAGCATTGTTGGTACGGACGTTTTTGCCTCCTTATATGGAAAAATAGTAAGTTGTCTGAGCCCGGCTATATGAATGGCTAATTTGTTGATCTGGATTTTACCGATGTTGTATTGTGACATTGGTTTCCCGAACATTTGTTATTCACCGATCCCTAAAAATCCGAAAGAAAAAAACAATCTGATAACACCTCACGGAATATGCAGGATAATATGTTTTGAAAGGCGGAATGATTTCGCAGTTCTTCTCGTTTTCACATAGTTTCTGATGAATCCTCAATGAGCGGAATGATCCAACGGCATCTTGAGTGTCGTATCTGAATGAGACATCTCTGACTTTCATGTTAGCAACCAATTGTTCTGAGCTTGAAGATGCAAATAGACTGATCACCCTTACATTATCTCAGTCCTGAACCCGTTAATCGAATGAATCAAAATAAGGATGTAGGCAAAGTTGCTGGTACCATAGATGTTTACTGGGATCGCGGAGGCTTGAGTTTGATCGGACCGTAACTCTTGAATTTACCGTGGAATCAAAGAATCCCCAAGCCCAGCCCCAGTGAGGCTTGTAATATTCGGCTCTTTTGAGATGCTAAACGCTTCTTCCAATTTATAGTCAAGAAGTGCTACAAAATTGCTTAAGATGACCCTAATCGATGTCTTCATCAATTTCGCAAAACTTTGCCTCCATGCGGGATTGAACCGCAGACCCTCTGTTTACGAGACAGACGCTCTACCACTGAGCTATAGATGCGACGCTACCCGTTCCTGGCATGAAGCTGAACAAGAGTTAGGAGCAAAGCTTTCCCGATAAGCCGACAATGGATGCTGCGAAAATCGTATGTATTCTCGCTTTTTCTGCCCTCGTCTGTCGCACTCCCATTTAATCCAGCCTTTAACTGCTGCGCTTGTCTGCGAATGCTGGGAACCTTGACACCTCCCCCCTCCAACTACATATTTTGTCTAGGGTACCCAAAGCTGACGGATTTACGCTCTTGCTTTCACTACCTATCAAATTATTACTATGATTTCTTCGAATTTCTCAGACGCCAGGCAGCACAAATGAATTTCAAATGGGGAAAACATAACAAGACCAAAGCTAAGCAAAGTGTACACACATACAAAAAGACATTAAATGGAAAAGCTTACTTTTGTATTAGTGAGAGTAGCTCAGATTCATCTCGCAAACGCTCGTAACCAACGGTTTCTCTCAATCGCATGATTATGAGAAAAATCACGGTAAAATAGAATAGATAAAGAAAGCTGCTCGATTCCATACGCCTAGCTAAACGAGTTGAATTCAAATAGCAACGAATTTTTCAGACAAATGAGAAATTTTGATTAATGTATTTACATAAATGCAGCAAATGCAGAAATCATAGAGCATGAACTTAGGGATATTCTTTGCCTTTGACTTTACTTCTAAAAGTGATTCGAACAACTGTTTTTATTGACAAATTTTCAGAAACCAGCAGTGTCGGAGGAAGGAAATGGTGGTGGAGGACGAGGGAGGGGTAGGGGACAGAGGGGGTAGGGATTCTAGGAGCTATCAGAGTGTTCTCATCCTTCTAAAAAAGTCTCATACAAAGTAACTATCATAGTCTATTCGAAGAGATGAAGGCCTCTGTAGCCTTGATGGGTTTTGATAAAGGATATGAATCTCGTTCTNTTCTAGGAGCGATCAGAGTGTTCTCATCCTTCTAAAAAAGTCTCATACAAAGTAACTATCAGAGTCTATTCGAAGAGATGAAGGCCTCTGTAGCCTTGATGGGTTTTGATAAAGGATATGAATCTCGTTCTATGCCTGCACTAGCTGTGGCACATGGTACTGTCCTAACAGTAAACACTTGCAATAATACTAAAATAATATGTATCCGAGATCAAGTTTCGCGAGAGAAGGTGGCCAAACCAGGTGGAGTTGTTCCACACTCTGGTTATGGCTATCGGATATGGCGCTAAAAGAAAGCCCTGATAACAATCTGCGACTTTCCTTAGGTGGTCGAGAACCTGCATCATAAAAACGGGAATCAGAAATCAGATATTTTCTTCAAAACTTTCTCTGTGCTCTGAGCTGCGATTGTAACCACAGTCCTCCACACCTATCACGTACAGTATGAAGGAAAGCTTTCCCTGGTTGATCAATCTCGTTCTGGGATGCACCCCGCATTCAACTCCCAATCAGATTCGTGGTGGCCATTGAAATACGTATGTGGCCGATACTACGTGTTGTGATGGTAAGCCGATGTAACGGCCAGCGCTTTTATTTTCTCAGGCGAGTACAGCAAGTGCACTCATTGTTCATGGCGTTTACGAGGAGGGTCGAAAACGAAATAAAAACCCTAGAAGCCTAACTCTAAGGAGCTCAACATTAAAAAGCTCATGATTTTCGTGAAAGGAATATTTTCAAAATGTAAGTATAACATGAAAAAATCCTGATTCAACGAAATGTTAGTTGGCAAAGCTCGTACCCTCATTACTCTAGTATGCACCATTCGTGGGAAAAATCCTGGGTTCTCTTTTCTATTCGAGCCATTCCATACCACATTAAGTTCGCCTCAGCATTATGCTGTATGTATTATGGCTTTAGAAGTTGTTTTCGACTCCAAATAAGTCAAACTGTTTCACGAATTCAAAAAACATTCAGCGCTACTGATACTACATCAAGCATGGTGGTGGTGTGATGGGACCATCAAGTGTCTCCTGCGTTACAGCAAAGTTTTATTCAGTCAGTTGAGAAACGAAGATTTCAGCGACCATCTACAACCTGGTCGCTAGAGCGATATGAGTTAAGAGCACCCCTTTGAAATCGACACAAATCCTCGACTCGACTTGACAAAGGAATTCCATTGCGATCACTTCACGATTGTGATCTATCTGCATAGAAAGTCATAGAGCCGCATCAACTGAGTTGCCTTCAAATTTAGATGACGAGTAATGCTCGCTTACACTTCATGGTCTGGGGCGGGGAGAAATAGATTATCGATACGAATGTCTATGCATTGCTATCAACATACTCTACCATTAACATGGGAATCCACTGTAGATTGACTTATTAGGTTGCAAACTAGTACCTTATGTAGAGTACTGAATTAACGGGTAATTTTCTTATTCACAGTGCTGACCCTCATATTGCGAACTTACGAATATTTTTGAGCATAGGAAAGCATGTTCTGACCCAAACGTCATTATTACCACATCGCGTACCGAGAGATTGACTGTTCCTGTCGTGATCAAATTATCTTATCGATAAGAAGGGAAACCGAAGAAACCCACTTGAAAATTGTCTTTGCAAAGTTTTCGCTTTGAAATCCCAGGATTGGTATAGAAGCGACATCTGAAGACCATTAGATATGTAGTCTTATGTAATTGATAATGACGGTTTGCGTTCCGTAAAATTATAAACAAATCGTGAGGATTAATTGAGATTGAACTCCTTTCCAAATGAGATACTTTTCTGACAACCTGAGAGAGGCGTTTTTTTCCTTACTCATCATCTGTTGATTATTTACGAGTAACAAACATTTACGGACAACTACCTAGATCACCTCGCCTAAAAATAGCCAGTATCGAGCCACTGAAAAGCCTGAAATGTATGAGTTTGCTGACCCTGTCCGATACAACTGCCGCCGTTCTCCCGCTATATTTGAACATACGTCTGAAATGGTCCTATTCGATACCCAGAGTCTTGCGACCGAGGAGTCAGAAAATAAAAAGGGATGGACGGTGTTAAGTGCAGGTAAAACTGATCTGAATCCGTCTGAATCTTTCAAAATTAGCGTATTCAGTATGAACTGGAGATTTCCTACTTTCTAACTACTCCTTTCCCTGACCAGTTTTTGTAAGCTTGAGCACCACCGCCAATTAAAATGGCTAGGCGATAAGCCTGGAGTTTAGTTTTTCTATATCTACGAGACCAAGAAAGAAGATGTCAAGAAGGATCTTTCTGAAGACAAGATAACGGCACAAGATGCCGCAGATTAACAGAACTGGCTACAGAACCGATAAGAACTGAAAACCCTGCAGCTGCGAGGGGATCAGCGTCAGGGGGATGAAGAAGAAAAGTAAACAGACGACATTCTATATTAAATACAACAGTAGAAAATGCAAATAAAAGCAAAAATAAGTATTGATCCACACGGAAATGATATCAGCATCAACGAGGGAGTACCTCGCAACCGACCTACGACACTGCTTGGTATAAAGATAAAAATCAACCCCGCGTAAGCCAAGAACTTTTTCTCCTCCTTAATCTTGTCTATTCATCTCATTTTCAGTATACTGGATAATCGAAAGCTTACCTAAGGTCGAAAGGATGTCCACTTTGGGTAAAAAACTGATAAAAATGCGGTCTATGTTGGTCCACATAGTCATCATGGAAAATCTGCTACCTCGCCTGCGCACGTTATACAAATTGGGAAAGGCCAAGAAGGCTGACCTCACAGAGATGCAGTTGCAAAAGATTCCAACTAGTCCACGAAAGGGAGGCAAGACATTCTGCGATTGGATTCACATAAGGCAGAAACTCCCAAATACTTAATAGTTAGATGCAAGGGAGCAAAGTTGAACAGATACCAGGGTGTATCTCTTCTTGGTCGGTAATCAATGAATGACATCAACACTGCATGATGCACAGCCCAGATAATGTCATCATCAGTTTTGCAAAACGTTGCCTCCATGCGGGATTGAACCGCAGACCTTCTGTTTACGAGACA